TCGAATGGCTGTGAGTTGTTTTTTTCTAAACTAAAACCTCAGTATATAGGTTAGATTGCTGGGCTGGCACTCTGTGATAAATAAGTGGGCGTTGGGTTGCAGCTTAGGCACTTGGTCTCTAAAAGGTTCACTGCCACCGGGTTGGGGTTAGAAAAATGAGGTGCCCTGGCACGATTTTGATGGTTGGAATTTATTTAGAATGGGCAGAAAAGTTGAGCTGTGCAGAAAAAGCTTCTCAGGGAAGGCTTTTTCAAAATTGCCCTCTTTTTAATGGAAGTTTCACCCTGTATTAGGGTTAGGGGTGTGTACCAGTGTAAGTTTAGGCCAGTGGTGGCGAACCTTTGGCACGTGATCCACAGAGGGCACACAGAGCCCTCTCTGTTGGCACGTCAGCCAAGTCATCATGTTATCCACACTCAGGGAGCTCTGGTTTCATGTAACTACGCTTAGTTAATAAGCTGGGTGAGCAAACTATGATTTGATCTGGTTTTGTTTTCAGAAAGCCTAGTTCCCCAAGTTCAGACAACATCCCCTGTAAACTCTTAGAAGAGAAATAAACAAGAATAAAGATCTACTGTACATAATTGGTTCCATTTCAGATGGTAACAAAGTGGAGGGCAAACTTTTTAATGATTCTGTGCATGGTGTACTACACACAGGAGCAGCCAACATGATGCTTTTCAGGTGTATTTGATCTGGGGCAAGAAACATTCCCATACTGCTGGCTGCAATTGTGCACTGGCACAGACAGCTAAGTCACATGAGGCATCTGCTTTTTGGGTGCAGCTTCTAGCCTTGGAGGGACTAACAACCTGCAGAAAATCTACAATTAGCATCACAGCAGGGGAACACTTTACATTTGCTATGTTAACCCACAACAAACCAAATTCCACTTACTGCTGTATGAAATTAGAGTTAACACAACAGATGTTAGAATGTTTCCTAGGTTAGACAGCAAATAGAGCTGGAGAAATTACCATGGTTTTCAAGTCTTCAGGGATGCTTTTTAAATGCTCCCCAGCCACGGAAAGTCTTTTTTTTCCAAAGTGAAAACAAAGTTCTTAAGGAAGGTGGTTGTACAATTTTACGAATACAACCTGTGCTGCATCTGATCCCCACATTTTCATATTTAGAAGCACTATTATGGAAATGCTCTATTTATCATTGTCAGTTTCCTAAGAATAAACCACTCACTGATCCAAAGTGAGCATTTATGAGGCTTAGTTAAAGGCTCTTTAGCATCTTCAAAAGTAACAGCAGATCCAGCTCCTGGGATCTGAGGCTGCAGGCAGTGGTTAGGAATAAGCTGGCAGGCAATGCATGGAGGGGAAGTTCAGTGAAGACATAAAGAGCTATGACTGTTTCCAGGTGAAACATACAGCATGTTTACAGCCCCAAACAGGCCCTTCTATCCTATTAAGGGCACCATAATTTCCTAGCAATGAAATTAGAAAGCTGGAATCAGGAACCAGGCAAAGAATGTACCAGTCACCTTGATGGTCGAAGTAGGAGCTACTCTGATCAGGCACTGATTCTTGCAGTGGGAACAGCGGGTATATCAAATTTGGACGCCACCACCACAACCTAGACTCCTCTGTGCCTGGACAATCAGGTGGTACCGGATAGCCAATCTCATGCCACTTCCTTCTCTGAGGATCCCAGATCTGCTAATCTCCCACAGTCTGGGCAACTTGATGGAAGCCACCAAGCTAGTTTCCTTTGTGCTTCTTGTTCGCTGTCCTGTCTGCCCAAGGCAGCTATCTGGGAGAGACCATGGCTCAATGGTAGAACAGAGGTTTTTAATGTTTGCTGGATCTTGTACCTAAGGGCCTGACAGAACCAAGTGACAAAAGAAAGAATAAACCAAAGGATGCGAGAAAGAAAAAAAAATGTGCTGGAAGTAAAGCATCTGAAACTAGCTAGCTTTTGAATATTATGTCAGGCAGTCAGAATTATATTTTTTCTGTTGACAAGCCCAAAGCCTTCTACCTCACACTTCAGTGATTCTTATTTTCACTACATATAGTGTGTGAAGGAAGCATTATTTCCACAACGTCCTCCCTAAATGCACACTAACCAGTCAAGTGCAACAACCACTTGAAAGAAATGTGGGTTACGGCTATTCCTTTTTTCTTCAAGGGCAAAATCGAACAGTTCCTTAAAACAGTGAATGGAACAAATTATTTCTGTCCTCAAATAAAATTATGTAGACAGGCAAAGGGCAGATCCAACCAGTTCCAAAAGATGACAGAACTCTAGTCTGTCCTCAGGACAGCATGTCATTGAAAGGAGGAGGGTGTTTTGCAAACTGCTAAAACAGACAAGCCAATAACTTTTTTCATCCCCATTCACTATTGAATGGGCAGGATACGGCAACTCTTTCCTTAGGAATGGATAACAACATATTGTTGCCAGAGGGCGTGCTTCCTGTCTGGGATTCCAGCCATCCCAACCCGTATCTTCTCCCTCCCAGTCCCCCATTTTGCAATTTCCTCCCAGAGCCACTCAGTATGCTCACTGGCCTGTTCTGGGGACTTCTCCTGAGGAGTCCCCCTCAATTTTAATTGCTTTTTAATGTCAAGCTTACTGATACTGGTCTTGTGTGCATTTTGGCTGCTTAAGTCACAACACTCATTTCCTGAACATAGGAAATAAGGGGAAAGGATTATCGCTAATATTTTACCTTGCCCTTCCTATGTATGACTGGGTATGAAAGAAGGAGAAAGCACAACAGTCTGGTAATGCCACATTAGGAATAGGCAGGCACCATCCTTGAGCTCACTTGCTTTTCTGTCTCCTGCCCTCCTCCTCCATGGGCATGAGTAGGAGATCAAATGCTTTTGTTAGGAAAGGAAGACAGCTCTTGCTTTAGTTTTAGCAGTAGCCAAGGGTCCCTGTGATGACTGAACTTGGCAACTGTGGTTTGTTCCAACAATGGTGAGTTGAACAAAAACAATCTAGAGTATCAAACCATGGTTTGGTTCTTCATGCAAAACAAGGAGAGGCAACCACCTGCATCACATGAAAAAGTTGGGATAGCAGATAGATTTGGGAGCCAGACTTCATGGAACTATTTCATTGCTTAATAGATATTCCCAAATGTATTTCTGGATCAACACTATGGAAAGAAACTCAGTGTTTTTAATGTTTTAGATCTGGTTTTCTGAGAACACAATACAAATATTTTAATGAACAACACCTCTATTATAATTTAGCATATGACCACTTTTGGCCACTGTCTTGTAGGAGACTCTTACTAGTCAATGGTTTGCAATATACTCTCCAGGCAGATAAAAGACTCTTATAATTACTAGCTTCCCTTATTGATTTGCAGATTAATTAGAAACCTCTTCTCATGCAAGCACTTAGGAACAAGCCCTTTCATGACCCCAGTATATATTAAAGGCTAGGTAACGGTTTGTATGTGTGTATGTGTGCATGCACTGGGAGTGTAATTAAAACATCCTCCTTTTTACAAGCTGTACCTGCTGATTTCAGCATGCGTTGCTAATGAGTATATCAATTCAAGCTACACTCTTATGCAAAGTTTTACAGCAGAGAGGACAGCCAATGACAAATTCCTTCTATTTCAGAACACCAAATGAGGAAGCATACAGTCACATTGACTCCATAAAGACGACAAAAATCCTAATGTCAGAATGTTAATTTGTACTGATGTGATATATTTTCGCTATGAACACCAGAAGCATACTGCTTATTCTTATGTCATTAATTTTATGTCAAAAAAATGACCCAGTTAATCATTGTCTTCTCACCAAGTAATTGAAATTTATAATAGTAAGAAAATCCCTGGATCATACTACTACAATACAATCAATTTCTGTTAAGTAAAGCTGGCTTTTCTCTTCTTTTCTTTTTTTGTACTTCACTTCTTCCCATGTGAATAAAGACTTGCAGCTTTTATCATTACCCAAGAAAGGCTACAAGCTGGTGCTCTATAAACTGAACATTAACTGCTGCAGAAAATAATGCATACAAATTATAAAAGTGTATTTTCTGTATTCCATTTATCAGAACCAAACTACATGTAACACTAAATGCATCATTAGCAACTACATCAGTTTTGGTTTAAAAGCAGGCACAGAATAGACTTAATTTCACCGGAACTTCAATGCACAGGGAGGGGAGTTTCAACTATTCCTTACGCAACCATAAGCCCAATGAAAAATGTCTCTATGCTCCTAAGAGCATTAAAAGCAAAATAAGAGGAGAGGAGAGGGGCAGTAAGTAGCATGACAAGCAACAGCATATGAACAAGCCTTCTTAGTATTTCCACCGATCCTCTGGAATGCTTTCCCAGATGTGGCCTGATAGATGGAAGCTGGTGACACAAGAAGTCCCTGAAAGACATACTACTGATTCAAGCTTTCCTGAGGTGTGATTGCAGTGCTGTTTTATGCCTTCTGTTGTGTCTTTAATGCACTGTTTTTATATTGTCTTTTATGTATTTCTTTTATAAATCACTTAGAGAATTTCTGATTGCTATACATGCAATACAGAAGTACTTTGTGTAATAAATTTCTTCCCACCCCTATAACATTAACAAGCAAAAGGAGTGGTGAGAAAGTAGTACAAACCAGGTACCCCTCCTCCTGCCTGCTATCAATATTTCTTTTTCAAAAGACCCAGAAGTTCACACTCATGACATACCAAGATCATTTGCATCCAAGTGACAAGAAGCAACTAGGAGCAGAGATCTGAAAAACTGTGGATACACCAGTATAAGTCAGCACAAGGTGGAAGGGCTATGCCCATAGAAACAGTCCTACAGAATAGGGACTGAATGGATATACAGCTCCAGAGTTAGGGCTTCATTTCCTATATAGGCCTTCTGAGACCTTCAGATCAAACTGAAAGACTGCAATGGAGAAGGTGTTTGGGTAGATTTGATCTGACCCAATTTAAGTCCGCTCTCTCAAAATGTTAACGTGACTTAACACTTATTCAGACCAGATCAATATAGTCTTGTTCTGACTCACCTGGTCTCATTCTCTTTGGGTATCACGGTTGTTCCATAGCCAAATGTTTTCTTGTCAGGTATTGATGGGGCTACCTCAGCCATGCCAGATAAACCCATGGCATTCCGTGGCTTGGCTTCCACATACACAGGAGTCCCTGGGTCCTTCTTGAGAGACTGGCGGCCAGGAGATGACCTGTCAAGGTGAATGGTGTGAGGACCTCCCACTGGGGCACCATGGTGGGTATGAATGTCCATCATTCGCATGTCGGCCACTCTGTGAGGAGATGCAGGAGGAGTTTTGGAACTCAGTGTAGGCAAGTGGCTGTCAGGGTATTTCCTGGATTTCTGCCGATACAACAATTGCTCTGTAATTTCAGGCTGCATAGGGGGATTACAGTAAGTGCTTGAGGATCTCATGGTGCTGCGGTGGTAGGCAACGATGTGGTCAGGTACATCAAAAGAATGTCCTGTATGAGAACCTGCAATGCTCATCCGGCCTTCATGGTACAAGTAGGGGTCAGCATACAGTCCCTCATTACGAAAAAGCGTGAGGGTTTTGGTACTCAAGTCCTCATCTGGCTTCACATCCCTTCTTTCCAAGATGGCACTAGGGCTCGGAGAGATGGATCTTGAAGCCGGTATGCCCGAAAGCCTGTCTCTGGGAATTGTTGCATTGCCAGGGCCACTGACTGGCCTAATGTTGCTGTAGGGGATCCTGGACGGGGAAGGGGGCATGGAATGGGGCACCGGTGTAGCAGGCGGTGAAGTTGGAAGAGCATGAGGAGGGGGAGGGGGATGAGCTGCAGATCCTGGCCGAGAAGCGTTTGGGAAGGTTTCTCTCTGCATCTGCAAGATAAAGAAATCCAGCTTACTTTTTCTACCCTGAAGAGCATGCCATGTGTTACTGTTTTAAAAGACAAGACAGACATAAGCAAAACAAAGGGGCAAATAGTGTCATTTCATAGATACAGAATTGAAACGCAGACAAATGTCACTAATAGTGAATCTAAGATGGCATAGAAAAATCCATATTTGGAATATTTCATAAGAATAGGCTGATTAAACAGTGGGTGATCTGCCTCTAACCACATATTGAAGATCTGAGTTCATACCAGGTCATTCTTCTCCACTGAATCCTTCCAACCCTTGTAGCCACAATAAAGTTTAGACTTCTTTCTGGAAAATAGAGAAGAAATGCCCTGCCTTTGGCTATTGCTCTGGGATAGCTGCCACCCCAGAAGGAGGCAAATTTACTTTACATCCATAAAGTTCGTGTTTTATCCAATAGACCTGGTCCATCTTATCTCCAGATATGTATCACACAGAGTTAAATCCGTGTGATACACATGTCACTTGGAGGAGCTACCTGTTGGAAGGTGGCCTTACTAGGGGAAAAAAAGTCTTTCTACAGTGTTAACATAGGGAAAACATGTTGTTTTCCACTGAGTAGCCATCACACGATACCCTACATTGCTACCAAAATAGAGGATTGCCTTCTCTCCCTTCTCCACCCACAAGTTTATTTTCATCATTTGGTGGATTCCCATGCCAGAATATACAGACTGTTGGATCCTATTACACTCATCTCCACAATTGGGAGTTTATCCAGGACTCTCCTTGAGACCAGAGGTCAAAGAGAGGATTTGTAGCCTTAGGCATCAGAGAAAAGGAAGGTAAACAGCCTAGCAACTATGAAAACAAGTGGAAAATAAGCTAACATGAAAAATACATGAAAAACAAAAACAAAAGACAAGCAAGCCTCTCCATATGAGAGATGCAAAGAAGTCCATGACTTCTGGTCTTTCCATACATCAAGCAATGCAAAGCTATGTCTGAGAGCACACAGTATAAAGAGCCACGACCAACCCTGGCATCCTAAAAAGCACAAGTAAGAAGATGGACATCTCCATCCATTGTTCACAGTTCCTATTTTCAAGAATATGCTTAACAGTGCAATTCAATCCAGATGCCCTCCCTCCAAACTAGGGAGAATTATGTGCATCCTACGTGGGGCAGAAGGAGAGTGGAGGTGAAGGTCACCTCCCACTGCTCCTGTCCTGCAGAACACTCAGACAGCCAAATTTGGGTGTCTTAGTGATGCGCATGTGGGAAGGAGTCTGAGGTGCCACTAGGACACCTTGTACTCTGGTATTGCCTTCTCCTCCTCTCCCCATTCCCTGAAATTCCCCCTAAATGCAATTTCTGAAGCTGCTCTTATAACCTCAGAGACACGCCTGGTGAGGTTCTTTCTGCACTGGTGGTGAGGGCTGGAGGGCACTCTGAGCTTCAAGATCCAACTACAAGTTGAAGCAGTTCCCCAACTTCACAGCTGTGTCTCAGATTAATGGTAAACCTCATTAAGAAAACATTTCTTTTGAAGGATGACATATACATTCTTATGTAAATCCATAAGTAGATACTCATTTTCAGTGCTACTACAAGTCCAGTGCCAAACTGCACTAGTGAACACACTGTGCATCTCCCAGCAGGATCTACAACTACCACCTTTTCTAGCTGGGGGAGAATTCAGCTAGTAGAGAAACTTGAAGTGATACCCCAAAATATGCTCCTATGTCAGATGGCTGATCATCCCTCATTCAACCAAGACAATACATCTGATGCAATAATGCATTTTAATTAATTAATTAATTGCATTTATATTGTGCCTTTTCCTCTTTGCAAGGAAACCAAGGCAGGTTACACAACTCCCCTCTCCATTTTATCTTCACAACAACCTTGTGAGGTAGGTTAGTCTGAGAGTCAGTGACAGGCCCTAAGTCACTAAGTGAAATTCATGGCCAAGTGGGGACTCGAACAATCTCCCAAGTCCCAGTGTAGCACTTTAAACCACTACACCAAACTGGCTTTCGATGTGTTATTCCAAGGCAACAAACCTATACTGTTTTAGAAAGGGGAAAAAGACTCATGACTCCAAAATTATCCAGACAACTATGTTGCCTGAGGCATGCTGAGACCTGTAGCCCTTTTTTCTGTTTTAAAATGCATAGGATTGCACCTAAAATGTGTTAGTCTTCAGGAATTCTCCCCCATTTACGCTTACAACAGAAAATATGGCTACTTCTCAAGACTCCTGCCAGTCAAATGTCCAGTAAAAAAAACTTTCCAGGAAGCAAATAGTGCACAAGGCAGCTGAAGACCACGGTGCTTAATGCACCGCACTGTGTGTTCAGGTTTTGCACACCTGCTAAGCAGTTGCAGCTGCTTCTGCCCTCGGCCTAACACAGAGAGCTGGTCGTAACACCTGTCGCCAACCACTTCCCATGCACGGGTGTTTTTCACTTCAGAGTTCCATGGCAGTAGTCAGATAATGCAACTTAAGTTGTATTATCAACTCACCGCCCTGAGACACTGTAAAAGGTGGGATAGAAAAACTTTAAATAAATAAAAATAAGTTCCTTTGGATGGTGTTTCATTTTATGTCCTTCTAAACACCACTTGCCATTGCCCAGAGCTGGGCATATTAAGGGGAAACCAATTCTATTTAATACCATGTGTACACAAAGCCATGATGACTTCCTAGTTACTACACGTTATATATTAACTTTATTATTCCACTCCTTTAAAAAATAATCATTATACCCAGGTTTGGGGATTTTTTTGGTGAACACCTGCATCCCAAACCAATTTCCACATAATTCAAACATATTTGGGTCAAGTGTTCCCCATGAGCGCTCCTTGACACAAATAAGTTTAGTACTCCTGCTGTCCTAGATATCTACTGGGAAATCAGTTCTTTCTAATTTATCATCATATTGAAACAATTTCATTTCATACTGAAATCTAAGCAAATCTGTAAATTGCTAGCCACAGAAGACATTCCACTCCTCATAATAGTCTTTTTAAAAGCAATGTATTCTGTTTGTTATCTTATTATGGGTGATTGCTATGCAACAATAATACTGATGGGCTTTTTATCTCTTAAGTCCATATGTTAAAGAAAGGACTGCCTCCTGCAAATATTCCTCCCAGTCACAATCCTTTTAAACTGTGCTCAGCTATTACCTCTCACATTCTTAGGTTATTTCCTTCCATTATTAGATGCTTTGAAAACAATATTATGAGGGAAGCACACTGGTACCATTGCAATCCCAAATATTAATATATTTATCTCTCCAAAGTTTTTTGTATGCAAGGAATAAAAGCCACTTACATTAATTTAATCAGCTCCGTTGGTAGAGCAGTAAGGTCATTACACTGCATTCCAAATGTTACAGCTCACTGCTTTCCAGGTTTTAAAGAAAGACATAGTCTAGAATAAGCCTTTTTACATATCCATCTTCTTGAGAAAGAATTTTTATGCCTTAAGAAAGCTGCTCAGTCTTGCTGTTTCCATGAAGCATGGCCCATCTTGTTCCACCCAGTCCTCTAAACAGCACTGCTCCAATAGGCTAAAGTACTTTTCCACATGACATACCTTCAGTTTCTCCTCCCCTCAGAAATTAGTCACTAAATAACTCCCCTTGGCATGTCATCCAAGTCACAAACTGTGCGACACACTGATTGTACATCAGCCACTGGCTAACGCACACACACAGAGCATACAAAGGACACCAACATGAAAAAGAGTGGCATATTCCAAAGAGAGGAAAAGGAGCAGCAGCACCAGGACTTTATTGGGAGGGGCAGGGTGGTAGAATACACAATATGAAATGCCCCTATTGTAATTGCAAAATGAGGACAAAGTCTCAAATGGTTTGCATTTCAATAAACGCAAGATGCTGGAAGCCTAAACAAATGTTTGCAGTCTGTTCATCAGAGCAATTTTTCAAGAAAGAAAACAAGAAAGGTGGGTGTGTTGCAATCTATGAAATGGGTAACACCAGAAAAATGTATCCTGCTTTAGCTGTACCTGGACAACCAGGAGTCTGTCTACTGATTAACTAGTTACCTTAGTTGCTTTGCCATGTTGAACTTTGGGCAGCTACCATAAATCAATTCCACAGCTTTCTGCAGAATATTACATATGCAATTAAGTTGAGTTGAGCAGTGTGTGTGTGTGGAAGGGAGAAGTACAATAAAAATGCAAACATAAAGCATTTATTTAGAACAGCTGATACATCATCTTCCAGTAAAAGTGGAAGCACTGGTTCTATACCAGCACACTTTTGGAAGTGTGACATAATATAGACTGCTGCATTACACGGAGCCAGACTTGCTCCCTCTAGCCCAGTGTTGCCAACACAGATTAGTCATGGATCTGTTTCCAGCAGGAGTCTTACATGGAGAAGCTGAGGACCTCTGAGCTCAGAGACCAAATTCCTTCCCACACAACAGGTGTGTGAGAGAAAAATAATTGAGCAAAAGCCCTTCCCCAGTCAGCCTGCAGAACTCAGGGATCATGACTGTTTAGCTTAAATGCCTTAGAGAGCAATCCTTTGCCCCTAGGCATCATCAGAGGGACCACAGGATACTGGGCATTCCCCCTGTGAAGCCAGAGACCTCAGGAGGAGCTGCTGGAGATCCAGCCACCTCTCCCAACCCCTCCCAGTTGGAGTGGAAAGAACCACACTAGTTGGCCTCCATGGTCCAGGAAAGGGGCCTTGGAAAGGGGGCACTTCAGTGGGCAGGGCAGGGAATACAATGAAGAGGCCAGGTATGAGCTTTCCTGTGGCCTCTCCAGCTTCCTTCCCCACCCAGCGACCTGGTTAGCTGGGCAAAACCCTCCCAGTCTAGCAAAAGCCACAGGAGAGAAGGATGGGGAGGTGAAGATTGCCTTTGCTGCTCCTCCCATCCTTTGCAGAATGTCCAGGAGCCTCTGAGTTCAGGGACTTCTGATCACTGAGGATGCAAACAACAGGGCTGCACCCTTAAACATGATTCAAAAG